ATAGCAACTCGAGGTTTAAATTTGTTCTTCAGTTCCTTGAGTTTAAGAAATGCTGAACAAGTTCGGCCCTTTTGATTTTCCAACTCTAGCTCCTTGCACATTTCATTGTAATATTTTGCTTTGTCAGGGTAGAGCAGGGTTTAGGGCTGTTGTACATAGGGTCGCTATGAGTCACAAACGACTCGACGGCACATAACAAGAACAACAACAACAACAACATCCCATGTGGCCTTTTGGAATCTTCTGTTCAGCTCTTTAGTATCTTGAATTCTTCCTTGTGCTTTGGCTTCTCTATGCTCTAGTGCAATCTTCAGTTTCTTCTGACATCCATTTTGTCTTTTCTTCCTCTTCTATCTTTGTAATGACTGTTTGCACTCTTCCTGGATGATACATTTGACATCCTCCCACAACTCATCTGGTCTTCGCTCATTAGTGTTCAAGTCCTCAAACCTGTTCCTGAGATGATTCTGAAATTCAGGTGGGATGAAATCAAAGTCATATTTTGGCTCCTGTGGATTCAGTTTCATTTTCCTCAGCTTCAGCTTGAACTTGCATATGAGTAGTTGGTGGTCCGTTCCACAATCAGCTCCTGGCCTAGTTTTCACTGCTGATATTGAGCTTCTCCAGCAGTTTTTTCCGCAGATGTAATCGATCTGATTCCTATGCATACCATCAGGTGAAATCCATGTGTATAACCTACATTTATGTTTCTTGTAAAATGTATTTGCAATGAATAAGTCATTGATTGTACGAAATTCATTCTATCTCCAGCTTCATTTCTGTCACCAAGTCCATGTTTTCCAACTACTGATTCTTCTTCTCTTTTCCTAACTTTTGCATTCCAGTCACCCATTATTATCAATGCATTTTGATTGCATGTTTGATCTATCTCAGACTGTAAACGTTGGTAGAAATTATCTATTTCTTCTTCTTTTGGCTCTGGTTGTTGGTGCATATACTTCCACAAATATGTTGTTGTGTTGATGTTGTTGTTATGTGCCATTGAGTCCCCTCCAACTCATAGCAACACTTAATGTACAATAGCTCTGAATCCTGCCTTACCCTGAGCCAATCTCACTGTCTCTGACACACCTTCCCCCATTATCCCACTGAGTGTGTCAGTCCATATCATCCAGAGTTTTCCTCTTTTGCACTGTCCCTCTATCTTTCCAAGCATGATGTCCTTCTCCAAGGTCTGGCCTTTGCTGGCATCATGCAAAAAGTATGTGAGGCAGAGGATCAAAAATCTTACCTCCAGGAACAGCTTGGTTTCACCTTCTCCAGGACAGACCTGTTTGTTCTTTTGGCAGTTCAAGGGAACATTGAACTATGCGCAGTACTCTTGTCTAGCACAAACCAAATGTCTCAACTCTACTTCTATCATCATTAGTCACATTTCAGCTCTCTGATTCAAAACAAGTGATTGCGAAGGCTATGGCTTAGATTAGGTGCACCTTAGTCTCTAAACTGATATTATTTTTCTTTAGTACTCTGTATTGGTCCATGATAATAGATTTATCTACTGCAATTTATCTTTTGCTTTCCTAACTGCTGATGCCAAGGGTGTTGATTGTGGAACCAAGCAAGCTGATATTATTAATACTCTCAGTCTCTTCTCCATCTACCATGGTGCTGCCAGTTGGCCTAGAGGTGAAAACCTTTGTTTTCTTGATGATGAGCTTCAATCCATATTGAAGACTTGACCTTGATCTTCTACTCAGGTCCTAAGTTTTGGCAAGCAAGGTTTTGTCATATGCATAATTCAGGTTGTTGAATTTTCCTCCAATCCTGATGCCACATTCCTCTTCATAAAGTTCAGCCTCTTGAATGATCTGCTTTACCTACAGATCAAATAGACAGATCGGATGCATCCTTGGTGTTCTCCTTTCCTGATTTTGAACTGTGCAATGTTTCCTTGCTCTGTTCTGATGAGTGCTTCCTGGTCCAAGTATAGGCTTCACATGAGCACAATGAAGTGTTCCGCAATCCTAGTCTTTTCAAGATTAAACACAATTGGTTGTGATCCACACAGTCAAATGCTTTTGCATAGTCAATGAAACAAAGCAAAGTCAATTCCTCTGGTACGTCTCCTTTCAGCTAAGATTCATGTAACATTGGCCATAATGTACCTAGTGTCATGACCTCTTCTAAACTCAACTTTCACATCTGACAGTTCTCTGTCTATGTACTGTTCCAATTGTCTTTGGATAATTTTCAGCAGGATCTTGCTTGTGTGTGATATTGGTGATATTGTTTGATAATTTCCAGACTCTGTTAGATGACCTTTTATTGGAATGGGAATAAATATGGATCTCTCCCAAATTGGCCAGGTAGTTAGTTGCCCTCCTGATTTCCTGGCTCAACCTGGTGAGTACATCCCTGGCTGGGTCTGTTTGTTGAAGTATGTCAATCGGTATGTCACAAATTCATGGGTCCTTGTTTGTTGACAATTCCTTCAGAGCAGCTTGAAATTCCTCCTTCATCACCATTGCCTCTTGGTCATATAAATATATAGATGATGGAAAAGGGAAAGGTGATCTTTAAGATAATGGGAGAAAATGTCAAGAAAAGCCAGAAGGTATTCTGGGGTGTCAAAATGCTTGCAAATTGCCTTTTTTTTGCCATTTTGTAACCCCCACTAAGGGGGCATGGTCTCCCCAGCTACCTTAACTGCGGATACAGGGTCTTGCAAATCATCAACAGCTCTGCAACCAATATAACTCATTCCACACTATGAAAGACGGTGCTGGAGAGAGGGTGAAAAGAATGTGGCACTTGTGTGAAGAGACGGTGGCAAAGTATAACCAGAGGAACCCTGGAGATGGAGCCACAGTTAAAAAAAAGTTTTGCTTCCTGGATGATTAAAGGAAAGGCTGACTTGTAGCTGCTCTGAGACACATTTTGCTAAACAATTGTGGACACCAGAGGCTTATTTCTGCTGCTGAACTGAACCTGGACTTTCACTAATTGAGGAATTGTGCCTTGTTAATCTGGCTTGGAATTGCTGGACTAAACTAAGACTTGCATTGTGTGATCTTCTTTGTCTCACTACTCGTCCCCCAAATCTATTCCCCTGATAAACCCCACAACTATGAGTAAAGAATATGAGTCCATTTGCAGCAAACATTGAACCTAATGATTTGTAGAAATAGGTGCAGGGGTATATGGGGTGTCACATCTGACCATGTAGCTATTTCTTTAAGTCAATGGATATTAATGATGAGGAAAGTTCTCCTTTATGAAGTGTGTAGTAGTCAGACTCAGCCACTCCCATGTTTCATCTGTTTCTTATACACTTACTAATGAGATAAAGATTGGCTGAATTCCCGAGACTAAGCCCTTAATCACCCCCATGGCTCAATTTTTAGACAAACAATAGATTCATAATGTGAACACTACTCTAGAGAGGTATACCTCCCTTGAAATAATCAACCCTTTGAGATTAAAAAGGGCCACATTTCCCCAAAGACACAGTTCAGAAGGCAGGAAAGGATATCAAAGAAAGAGGAATAGACCCATGAAACACAGGAAACAGGATTGATGATGCCACACTGGGGTGGGGGATGGTTGTTATCAGTATAATGAAACATAATGTGTGTGAATTTGTTGAACTGGAAATCTATTTGCTCACCCAAAATGTCCATGGATTGTTGAATGGGAAACTGATCTGCTCTATAACCCTTCACTCAATAACCAATAAAAAGTTAAAAGGAAAAAGATACTGTATGTGATCACAGGCAGTGGGCCCTGTGGCCTTGCGAGGATGCTCCCAGTTTGCTCTTTTCTTTGAAAAGTAAAAGAAAAAAAATCTTTCATTGTTGTACAATCCCTCCCCCCACCCCCCAGCCCACTCCTCTATGCAGCCTTTATTCTGCACTCCTATCATGACAATAATACTTAATCATATATACATTTAAAACGCCTCTCTCTTTTTTCACAAGGACTTCTGTATCTCTGCTTGTGACAGGAGGTAGGTCAGCTCAATGATTCCAAAACCATCTGAGGAGGATGAGGAGGAGAACAAAAGAAGTACAGTCAGGTGATACAGCAGCAAAGGTAGCTTTAAGTTTCACAGCTTGGTGGCAGAGGCTTCGCTCTCCTTTGGGGAAGATGGAGAGGGAGCAATGGAGGAGGACCTGTGGGAGTTCCCTGATCTCCCTTAGGCATTATGAATATAGATGGTTAATAATACCTGGTTCACCAGGGACCTCCCGTGCCTGTCAGTTCCTCTTTACCTCCCAGCTAACCTTCAAGATGGTCCCTAGAGCAAATTCAACCCAAAGTGTTCATTTCTTACATTTCTGAAGTCCTTTTATCAGATTATTTTCTTCTTCATCATTCCCCTACACCGCCCCCCCCCCCACACACACGGGGTGGGGGAGAGAAAGAAGGAAATGGTAATCTGTTTTACTTTATTTCAAAGCTAATGGATATAAACAAAAGTCGTTGAAGAAATTAAAACTGTAAGACATCTGAATTAAATGACACATATTTGTTTAAATCTATTTTGGCTACAAGTCACATTTTAGAATTCCAAGTTTAGCTCATGGTATACAAAATGATAAACATGTATTGCAAGCATGTCTTAGTGTAAAATCAAAATCTGCTCCCAGAAGTTTGTGTTACCTCCCAGATGGGGCTGTGTTTAGGCTTAGTCACCAGGGGCTGAAGATGATTCTTGATAAAACTGAAAAATGTCTTCTACAGATTCTTGACTGAAGATTGGAAGGGTAAACAAGGAAAGGACTATCATACAAGCGTGAAAATGAAAGTCTAAGTAACAATCTGTGGAGATAATTGGGCATGGCTCTGATTCCCCGGTGAACTCGGGGTGAATGGGTTGCCTCTTGAGGAAACGGGAGGGTAAAGCAGCTGGGACGGGCAGGACAGCCTCTGAAGAGCCTGTCAGCGTGCTTCATTTGGTTCTTCCTTCATCTCAGTTAGCATCTCCCCGGAACTTTCTGGAATTTTGACTTTTTACTTTCTTCTGCTCTTCATAGGTTTCCATCACAGTGGCTAGCATGGTTTTCTGCCCAGCCACAAGAAGAGAAACTAGATCAACCCGTTGCCCAAGTGGGAGTGCCCTCTGTGGCTTCCCCACAGGGTTCACCAGCCCTGGGGCGGGGGCATTTAATGACAGCAGTTACTGCTTTGTGTATTGTCCTCTTCACATGCTGAACAGTGCTTGCGGTCAAGATGATGCTTCCTCACTGAGCAGACAGCCTCTCTCAGAGTTGTGCACTCTCAGCTCCAACTTGGAGACACTCAGATTAAGTCCAATTACCTCCAGCAGGGAGCATGAAACCAAAGGAGAAGGACACATTCTTGCTTGAACCATTGAGCCAACATGCTTGTCACCCCAGTTTTATCCAACTGCTCCTCCTAGCCACTGGTTTCTGTCTGAACCTGTGGCACTCACCACACTATACTTGTTATGGGTGGGGTTCAGGACACATAATCTGATGAGTGTAGAACCTGGCAGTGCTTAGCTCATCCTGGACACTCTACTTTTACTTATGTACATAATAATTTTTTAAAAAGTTACACCACAGCATTATGTTGTATTGAAAGGCAACAGTGATAATATTATCTTCAACCCAAATCCCACAATTCCTCAGATCCAGGTCTTAAATTACTCCTAAAAGAGGCAATCCATTAAAGAGTCCGTGGCTGGTGCATTAGTTAAGTGCTTAACTGCTAGCTGAAAGAGCCTCAGAAGACAGACCGGGTGATCTGCTCCTTTTGTTCTAACTACTCTGCGTGCAGTGCACGGAGTGGCCATGGGATGCTATCAACTTAACAGCAACTAACAATAGTGACAGGGCAGCCAACCTAGATGCCAGTAGATCAGAAGATTCTAATAATGGCCTCTTCAAGAAGGTAAGATTGGTGGGGTAGGAAAATGTGTCCTATTACCTCGGGTGCCTCTCACAACTGCTGAGGTAATAGAAGTCATCATGTCTTGCCCTCTCACGGTCTTGCTGGGTACACGCACTAAGAAGTAACATTCAAATTTGAAGCTAGATGTGAATTTAGGAAAAGATAACAGTCTAAAGAAAGAGCCTACTAAAAAGCTAAAATTACATCTGCTTATCTTGTGGGCTTTTCCCTGCCTTGGTCAAAGCTGTAATTTCCTGTGGAGGAGGGTAGAAAGGAGCTAGCATATAGAACAATACAGAGATTGTACCAAGTCTCCTTCATATAGCAGAAAATGCACACAGGCCACTGCAGAAATGAAAAGGAGTAAAACGTCTCTAACATCATGCTAGTTTTTATGAAGCGGTTTCTTTTAGTTTGTTCGTTTCTGGTGCTATCGCTTCCAAACACATCTATATATAATTCCCTCTGAGGGCAGTAGTTGACATGGTCTGCACCTGGCCAAGGCCGTCCAGTCTGTAACTGCAGCTTTCAAGTTGACTGGAAGTCATGAAGACTTCATGTCAGAGTAGAAGTGTGATCCGTAGGGTTTCCAATATTGGATTTTTCAGGAGTAAAGCACCAGATTTTTCTTCCAGGGTGCCTCTGGGTGGACGTGATCTTTCAACCTTATGGTTACCAGCTGAGTGCATTAATCATTTGCACCATTCAGGAACTCTGGTTCCAGCCTTTAGACTCTGGCTTTTTAAAAATGATGATCCAGGCCTCTCTTGTACCCTAGGATGAAACGTCAATGTTTCAGTGGGCACCTGAAGGGTAGGCCAAGCAGCAGGGACACCATGACACCCTACCCAAGCTTTGCTCTGACTAGGAATCAGCCCTCTCTGCCTTTGTTGTGCACATCACATGCTTAGATCATATGGTCTTAAGGACTGAGTTCTGACATGTGCCCAGGGCTTGGCATAAGGCCTGAGACAAGCACATCACCATGAGCTGCTGGAGCTGAAAGTGAACAGGCTGTGGGCTCCAGGGCTAAGGCTCGAAGCCAGCTCCATCCTTTTCTAGCAAAGCTTCCCAAGCTCTCTAAGTGTCACTTTCTCCATTTGCAAAAGGGGATGATTTAGTGAAATAATCATAGAATGAGATTACAATCAAGACTGAAACACAAATGTTCAGTACACAGACTATTATTTGTATTACAGTTCAGTTTTGGTAAAGATTTGCCAAATGATTAAAAGGCTTCAAAGTGAAAGCAGAACTTTCATGGGAGTCATGGGGAGGAAACTGAGAGCAAGGGCCTCTTCATCCTCTCACCTGTTGCACTGCCCTCTTGTTGCTCGTCCTTAGCCAACAGGCCCCAGTGCCTGAGGGAGCTGTGGGACGTCTCACCTTTACCCATCACCGCTGCACTCCCTTGCCTCTCAGCTCCTTTTGCTCTGTCCTCGTCTCCAAATACAAGCACAAAAGTGACCTCTAGAAAAACTCGCAGTCTCTAATTTGTTAACTGCCCAGTGGAGATGAGAATGTACAACATCATAAGTCTTACATAAGACTTATGACTCAAGCGTGTTTTCAAGGCTGTGAATCCTTGCAGTGGCAAACTGCCCCACCTTTCACCTGCAGAACAGCTGGTAGGTTTGAGCTGCCAACCTTTAAGTTAGCAGTTGGGCATTTAGCCGCTGCACCAGCACCAGGACACCTTGTTGTTGTGGTTGTTGTTAGGCACTGTCCAGTTAAGCACGATTCATAGCGACCATATGAACGGCAGACCTAAGCCCTCTCCTACCTTGTGCAATTCTCACAATCTCTAACACATACTTGAGCCCATGACTGCAGCCACTGTGTCAATCCATCTGGTTGAGGGTCTTCATTTCCTTCACTGACTCGCCACGTTTCCAAGCATGTCTCTCTCCAAGGAAGGATGCCAGTTTGAGGATTAAAGTGTGCCCAATTCAGGCCATGGTCTTTCCAATCATTTGCTGTGCATCTGAGACCTGGACAAGGAGTAAGGATGGAAGAAAAATTGATGTCTTTGGGTTGTGGCACTGGAAAATAGTACTGAGTATCCCACGGACTGTCAAAAGAACAAATAAATGTGTCTTGGATAAGGTGTGACACCTTAGAACAGTGCATAAGCGGATATGAACAGCATAGATGAGATTGGACCCAGGACAACGCCAGTATAATCAAGGGCCAGCAGGAAGTAAACCAGGTATCAGGGTATGGGATGTGTACACACACACACACACACACACACACACACACACTCCATTAGGTGTCCACTCATTTGAGGATAAGAAAGACTCAGCGGCACCACCAGAGTGCAAATGAACTCTCATTTTATGCTAATGTTTTCTGTTGTGGTTTTGTTTGTATTTTAATTTCAAGTGTCAGTTTTGTACTTGGAACCCTCTTATCTTTTAACGGGACAGAATGATATACTCAGAGAACTTAGAAATATGCTCATAGAGAAAGGACTAGGGAATACATGATAGAATAATGAAGTTACATCAATATTCCCAATAAAGGCAAAAGATGTTTGAGGAAGACGGCTGAGGTCATCATGCCTCAGGGACCTTGAAGATAGTCAACATACTTCACAGCAAGTGGCAGTTTCAGTGGAAGTGCAGTTGGGGCATTTTTCTTATTATCTACTTTATCGTCTTCCTAGGAGCTTCCTTTCTGTTTGTACCTTGGTTACATAAGTCTGCAGCTTTCTAACCTAAGACCTCTAGTGAGCCTTACTTGATGTAGAGTGAGGAGACCGAAAACAGAGGTGTGAGTGGGCCAAAAGTCAGGGAAGCATGGAATCTTGGGAGTAAGTCACCTCAAGTCATTTCCTGGGAGGCAGTTGATCCCAGGGGCTGTTATGATTTTGTAGCTGGGCCTCCACCTTCACATGATTCAGGGCTTACTCCCAACACCCTACACAATGTGTGGCTTGATGCCAGGCTGACTTTGGCTTCATTTGTGCTGAGCCAACCAACAGTTCCCTTATCTTCAGTTCTCCACCACTCCACAGTCTAGGGCTAAGATGCTGTGGTGCTACAGTTGTTGTTAGATGCTGGACCACAGCGACCTTATAAACAACAGACCTGAACCCTGCCCTATCCTGTGCCAACCGCACACTTCCTGACACACTAGAGCACATTGTAGCACTCACTGTGTCAAATTCAATCCACTTGGCTGAAGATATTCCTCTCTTTTGCCAACCCTCTGGCTTTCTAAGGATGACGTCCCTCTCCAAACTTTTAACAATATGCTTGAAGTACATGAGGCAAAGCTTTATCGCCTGCCTCCAAGGAGCACACTGGCTGCACTTTCTCCAGGACATATTTGTTTGTTCTTTCAGCAGTCCATGGGATGGTCAGTACTCTTCTCCAACACCACAGCTCAAAGGCATCAATTCTTCTTCTGCCATCCTTATTCATTGTCCACCTCTCAGATACATAGCAAGGGATTGGAAAGACCATGGCTTGGATCAGATGTGCCTTAGTCCTCAAACTGACATCATTGCTCCTCAATAATTTGGAGAGGTTCCTGACTGCTGACTTTCCAGTGCTATACATTTCCTGATTGCTTGTACCAAGGGTGCTGATTGTGGATCCAAGTAAGATGAAGTTGCTGACAGTTTCAATCTTTCCTGCATCTATCATGATGTTGCCTATAGGTCCAGTGGTAAGAGTTTTTGTTGTCTTGATGTTGAGATGCAATCCTCACTGGAGGTGCTGTAGTTACTATGTACTATTTGAAACCAGGAGACAGGGCAGACTCCTAAGAGGAGGAATACCTTGTGGTAACACACCCTTGTCATGGGCCTGAGGAGGCTCACACACAATGCGCAGTGCCTGCCTGCAGCCTCATGTCAGCCTAGACTTGAGACAAGGTTCCTGCTGTCATGAATTGGACTGTGTTACCCTAGAATACATAAGCATAATGATTTATACAATGTGGAAGCTATTTAATGATTCTCCATGATTGGATAGATGCATAGTTGTAGGAGATTTTAGGTGGAACGCAATACTCCTTAAACCCATTGCAGCCCTAAACAGATGTAAGGGGAGTTCCTCTAGGGTGAGACCTATAATAACTTTTATATCATTAGAGATAAAGGAAGGAGAGATTTTATTTCCAGGAAAAAATAATCACCAGGAGTGGAGTGCATCTTTTTGGACCTAGTCACCTTCAAGATGAAACTCCTTTACAATGGGGAAGGCCAGACACACATACAGGTCTCCAGAGGACTCCGGGTCTATGGATGGAAGCTGAAGAAAATAAGGACTTTTCCCCTTAATTGACACAGAGAGCCTTCCTCTACAGCTGTCACCCTGAACTTGGATTTTTAGCCTCACAAAGTGTAGAGCTCCCAGATTGGGACAGTAGGAAGCAAGACTGGCATCCACTTCTTAAATAACAGGCCTTTGAAAACCCTATGAACACTAGAGGAATGAGGTGTCTCAGAGACAATGAAATTGGGTCAGGATGGAGTGGGGTTCAGGGCTGTTGTGCATCTGGTTGTTATGTGTCACAGGCAACTCGATGGCACATAACAACAACAAGAAACTGTATGAGAAAGACTGCAAACTGTAAGGGAGCTCTTCTGGCCTAATGAAAGAACCTGTGTTGCAGTCCTGAAGGCACACAGTTCAAATCTGCCAGCTACTCCATGGAAGAAGGATGAGCAATTGTCCATGCAGTTACTGCCTCTCAAAACCTGCTGGAAGGTCAGCTATGGGTCGGTTCTGACTCCATGGTACACAACAAGCAACAATTACAAACTGTAAGAGAATAAATTGCTATTTTTTAAAGCCACCCCTTTGTGGAATGTCTGTTATAGTTGCACCAGATAACTAAGATAACTGGTCAAGCTATTGAAACTGCCCAGGTAAACTGGGCTGACAGCAGCACTGCCCTCCTGGGGGTCAGTGTGGAGATCAGAGTGCATGCACTAGAAATGCTGTGCACCAGAGACTTGCTGTCACTGCCACACTCTTGGGTCCCATGCTGTGAGACAGCAAGCAGAATGATTCAGCAGGATGGGGAGGTGGGCAGGGCATGCTGCTGCCTGTCTCCCTCTTCCATCTGATTGCCATTGAACTGCTGTCATACCAGCCTCATGGAGATGTGGCGAAGTTTTCCATCCTGTAATGCAGACTGCGGGAGGACAGATGCCTAGGCAACTGCTCCTGTCACTCACTAGTGCTGAGTGTCTGTCTAACTACAAACCTCACTCCAGCCCCCACTTCACACCTGACACGGAAGTTGGGACTATTCATGAAGGTTCAGAATCTGCCAATCCCTGTCTAGTGAGTCTGCTCTCACTTCTCGCACATCTGCAGAACTAATTAAATTGTTGTAGCCACTTGAATTAGTCAGTCAGCTTGTTGTCTTTGCCCAGAGTTTTCCAGACACCAACATTCTATTTGATATAACTGAGCTTTGAAATGTGACCTTAATATAATGTTCTAATGGCCACAGCTGTTGTGTTGTTGTGTACCATAGTTGTCAACCCATAGCTCTCAGGTTTTCAGAGGCAGTTAATTCATGGTAGCAGACTGCCCATCTTTTTCTCATAAAGCAGATGGTGGATTCAAACTGGTAATCTTTGGGTTGCCTGCACAACTCCTTACCACTAGGCACAGTGAGACTGTTCAAAACTTGGGCTTTTTGGAGTGCAGAGGGTAGGGGAAAGAAACAAAGCAAGTTAAAGATGGAGCATGCAAAGAAGGCAGAAAATACAAACAGAAATTCATCCGGTCGGGCTAAATTTCCTAAAGAATTTACTCTATCAAATTTACCAAATATAAATTCAATCATGGGACTACATTCTCGATTGTGTGGCACAATCTCACTTGCACTGTAATAGATTTTCTTTGGAGAAGGTCAGCAGCTTTTGTTGTGGTTTTGCAAGTTCATTATTCAAGCTGTGGTGTTATGGTTTTATTGTTAAAGATGGTCTTTATAAAAAAAAAAAAAGGCCTTCCTATTATAAACTTTGACTTTCACCACATGACTGAGCGGGATCTTCAAACACAGTGTGCATAAAAGCCACCATTAGGGGATCTGTCAGCTTCCCCCACCTCATTGAGTTTAAATTGAGCAAATTTAGCAGCAAAGGTGAGAATCTCACTACCAGCAGTGTGTGCCCTTCAGGACCAGAGATTCCTGTGCCAGTCAGACCTAAGTTCTACAAGATCTGCAGCAGCTTCAGTACAAAACCCGAAACCAACATAAGACAGAGCTGACTTAGGACCGCTGTCCCACCGAGCCAGAGGCAGGGTGAGGAGCCTTTGTCCAGGCTTGCTGCAGGCCTGAGGAAAGACACTAAAACTGGCAGGACTAAGAGAACAGTATCAATGATCTGAGCCAAAGGGCCTAAAAATGTCCTTAAGAAGCTTTCTGGACTGAGGAATTGAATCCTGTTGCCAACCTGAATTTAATGTGTTAACTTCCCTCGTAAACCTCATAGTAATGAACATGATTCTGTGAGATTTGTGTGGCCACTGCAAGGGATTTCAGACCCTACAGTAGAGCAGGACAATTGGGGTTGGAATTATAAGTAGGTATGGGATTTTGGAGGCCACGTTTGACTTTATGGGAATTGATTTTGTGCTGATGGGGCCTGTTCTCCTTTATGAAGTTAACAGAGTTCAGGGTTGGCCATTCTCATGCCACTAGTACTCTTTGTACACAGACTCTGTAGTTATCATAGCAAGGGGTGTGTGTGTGTGATAGAAATCACTCACTAGTGCTTTCAAGGTCACCATTAATGGCCAGATGTTCATTTAGCCAATTTAAGAGTCAGCTGGTAACTGTCAACTTTGGGGACATTGGAGCCAAATTTTTTTTAACAAGAGTATTCCTAAAATCACTGTAAATCACATTTGTTGTTGGTTTGCTGGTGAGTTGGAACCGATCTATAGCTGACTCTCCAGCAGGATTTAGAGTCAGTAAACTGTATGTGGGGAGATTGCTCATCTTTCTCCCATAGAGCAACTGATGGATTTGAACCATGTGCCTTTGGGATTGGAGCACAGCATCTTATTACTAGGCCACAAGAGGTCCCTACCAGAAGGCTCAATTTCCTTAAGGTTTTCCTGATTGTCAGTAATACATACTCCACTGCCTTTCCTTTGGAAGAAGAAAAATTTTCTTTGATCAATAGCATGCTTAAGCATACTACACCCACCGGAGTCCTAGCTGATAGGCTGTCCTTTCCAATTACTTGTAAACAAACAGGGGGTCTCCATTTTAAAGACCCAGCACTAAAATGGCAGAAAAGATTATTACTGTGTTAACTTAGAAAGATATAGACATAAGGCAGAAGACTTATGAGTCACATTGGCACAGGCATTTTAGATACAGCTCTAACCATAAAAATATCTTTTAGTAAAAACTTAACCTATCTTTTAAACTTCTTAATGATCCATGAACTAGTAATTGTTAAGATTGTATACACTAGATAACAAGAAATTAAGCTCATATTCTCATTCCTTATTATTTGAACAAATTAACACTAACAAACAATCAACATCTAAATAGACCTTTATTTTATTCCACGGTTTTGGACAGAAAAGAAAATTTATCACTTTTCATTAGAATCTTCCAAAGTGTTGGAAACACATTAAACTCAGAAATAGTGGACCTTGTAGAAAAGCATCACAAATTAAAAATATATTTCTCCATGTGATAAAAGTGCTTTCAATCCAATTAAAGGACATGGCAAAGGTGTTTGGAAACACAATTTAAAATTTGGCCTACAATCCGTGGCGTTGAATTAAAACCAAAGGGTAGCGACCATCAGCCTGGATACAAAAACAATATGGAACTCAGGAGCATGCTGCCAGCAACACTTAATTAACTGAGTCTGATGAAGGAAAAGAATCCCAAAGCCTGAGTAGAATAGATTCTGCGTTTGTGAAAATGAGGTGGCTACATAAAGTTGGGTGGAAAGGGGATTGTGAAATTTCAGAAATCACTTGTTTCTTGCCTGTAGAGATGGTCAGGTCAGTTGACCACTCTGGCCCTGAGGTTCTCCTATGGACACATGCACCTTGGTTCAGAAAGAGCCCCTGATTTTGTGGGAAATAAGTGGGTTCCCTTATGTGTCAGATCACATCTAAATAAAGGTTACCAATGAAACTCACTCTCACTGTTATCTGTTGGTTCTGACCCTCAGCAACCCTCTGTCTCGTTTCTAAGGCTGTAAATGTTTACCAGAGACCATCCATCTGTCTCCTGAGGAGTAGCTGGTGGATTCAAACTGCTGATCTTCCAGTTATCAGCCTGCTACATTATGCCACCAAAGCTCCCTAAGTAAGGCCTTCATGTTGCCAAGCTAGGCTTTGCCAGTGTCAGTGACACCCTTCTTTGGGGCAGCTTTGAGAAGACAGTTGTGGTGGCAGTGTTCCTACCCTGGAGGGAACCAGCCAGGAGTTATCTGCAGTGAGTGTTGTTGAAAACCTGCAGTCCTGCCAATGCTAACCACAGCGACAAAGCTCAGGGCCCACAAGGCTCCCTGCGGTCCTTAGGAGAATGTGCCACACTTCACAGAACGGTGACTAGGTAAGTCATCAGGAATGCGTTGTGGGAAGGAGATGAGAGAGGAGAAAAGAAGGGCAATGGTTTCCTTTATATTAGATCTGAAGCAACAGTAAGAAAATAACCTGAAGATATATTCAAAAATAAGAAAAAATTGCATCATACTTCACTGCAAGTGATGTTGGCATTTTCTTCTTTCCACATCACACCAGCTGAGCAGGCTCGGAGGTGAGCAGAGATGCCTCACTGAATGAGGGTCACTTCTACCCACTCCATCACTTCCATCTAATAGTACCCTATACATCTTCTTCGGAGAAATTTACTCTAAGCTGCTTGTCTCTAGGCAGTTGTTGGAAGCCCTCCTAGACATCCCTGAACAAATTTAAGGATGAAGGTCAAATCTTGGCTGCCTTCCTGCCACCTCTTGGCCTCATGAAAGGGAACCACGTCCCACATCTCTTTTCATTTCACAAAGCAAGCATTTTCTACCAGAGAATGCTATAGCCCAGCCAACCCCTGGAGCCTGTGGCTGCAACAGTCCCCATCCCCAAGCCATCTCTGCTGGGAGAGGACCCTTCTTGTCCACCTGGAATGGGGCTGCTCAGGTATCATGCTGGACAGATATGACCAAGGTAACAATGTATAGCAATCGAGTCCATGTAGCGTGTTGACAATGCAGTGGGGGCAGTTTCACAGAAGACATGCTCTTTGTTAAATGGAACTGAGACAAGCAGCCACTCCTTCCAGCGAAGCCCTTGCTGTGCCTGCAGAGACCTGGCAGCTCCCCTCTGGCACCTCTGGGTCTCTGCTGGCAGGCTCTCTCCTCCTCTCACTGTCTCTCAACTTGGTCCTTCACCTGAGCCTTGGGCTTGGCCCAAACATCAATGAGATGGAGAGGTGTCCTCCAAGCCCAGCAGCTCTTTGACCAGTCTCTCTCCAAACTGTGCCCGGCTGTATCTCTTCACATGGTAGGCGTCTGACATTTTGTACAGGATGTAGGCATTGTTGATGGCGATGCTGATGGCAAACCAGAACACCTGCTGCCAGGTCTTGTTCGGTTTATGGGAGATGAAATACCTACATGGACAGGAAGAATAGGAAAGGTTGGCTCAGGTGACTCAGGGGCACTCACAAGCTTTATCATGGTCATCAAGCGTCATGGCCCTCGCTGAGTGACAGCACTGGGGGAACCTGCATGTACACAGAGCATGCATGCTGTGCTGTGTGGGCACACTGCATGGGTACACTGAGGACAATCTTATTTAAGCAGTATTTATGTGAGGAAACCTGAAGTAACCAGTGGTGGAAAACCAGCTTAGTTAGTCTAGAAAAGGGGAGACATTAAGTGGTGGTGTTGCTGTGTACTGTGGAGTGGAAACTGACCCATAGCTGACCCTCTGGAAGGTTTTCAGAGGCAGTTAATCGCATGGGAGGAGACTGACCATCCTTCTCCCTTGGAGCAGCTGGTAGCCTCAAACTGGGTGCTTTAGAGGCTGGGACAAAGCTGACTTGATTTGGAATGCTGGGAGGTAAGGGTGCCTCTATGCTGGAGAGCGAAGAGTCAGGAACCGTGGACAGAGGCTTTAGAGGTGAAGGCGCGTATGGCTGCATGTGGAGATGGCCGGGATGAGGGGTATGGCCACATCTCGGAGGGATTTGGGTTTTCCATTCTAATGATCACCCACCAATTAGTCTGTGATGGTTGAAAAGGGTGGAAAACCTCTTTTGCAGACTCACTTGCTGTATTTGTCATCGTATTTGCAGATGTAGCTCAGGTGAGCAGCAAATGCCTCCACGGCCAAGGGGCAGGGGATCTCGCCACTCTTCCTTTTGATGATCACCCCTGCAGAGAAGAGAACAGAAATCTCTTTACTGCCTCCTCCAAAGTCCACTGCCCTGGCTGCCCCTAATTAAAATAGCTGGCACAGGAAGTAAGGAGGGTAGACATGGAGAACCATCAGATCCAGTGACTAGATGCTGCAGAAGAGTTGAGAACAACATTCAAGTCAGCGGAATGCAGAGGGTCTTCTGGCAGAGGGACAGCTGATGTGGATCTTTATCACTAGCACTCATGAAGGGGCGCTCCCGCCACGAGAGCACGGAGTCATGAGAGCAATAGAGAAGACTTGGTAATCATTCTCCTCTCCCCTACACCTCCATCCAGGCAGAGCAGGGCTGGGGAGAAAAGCAAGAGGTGAAGGTCAGGAAGCATGATGGAGTCATCTTCACGAAGAGGAAGGGGGAGCTGGAAGCTCCACTTGCCAGAAGCCTACTTCCTCCCTCCCCTAGATACCTCCCTCCTGCCAAGTCTCTCTCTTCTTCCTCGTAAGCCTTGCAGGGTTCTGAGGAGCTTTACCCATCACCTTCAGGCCTGGTTTAAATTGTTTTTTGTCAAACATTCTTCTAAGTGGTATAGCATTGCTAAACAGAGGTTACTCGTGGTTGCTGTGATACTAAACACTGTGACACTCATGTGCCAAATGTAATAATGATTACCCAAGGTGGACAGTGTTTGCTGGAGCTTTCCAATTAAAACAAGCCTGGAAGCAGGAGTGGCATCCACTTCTGAAATGGCTTGCCTCCGGAAACTCTATGAACAGTGCTCAGTCCTTTCGTTCATAGGGTCGCCATTAGGCATCTACGACTTGATGGCACCTAACAACAACAATACAACACCTTAATGTACATGACTGCTCTCTCTATTAAATACAAATAAGAACACATTATCAGAGTACTTTGTATACTACTGTAAGTTGACTCAGTCCCTCCCTACCTCAACTGAACAAACTACTTACTCCCCAAGACCTGTTTCAGACAGCTGGCTCTGAGATAAACAGCATGTCAGGGAAGGGGGGATTTGCTCTCTTAAAATACAATTTATATTAAATGTGGCTTGGGATTGACAAGTTATTTCCTGGGACCAGACTTCAATTTATACTCCCCACACAGCATTAAGTGATTAAAAGCAGAGCACTTTTTTCTTAGTGAAAATTTTCTGTATTTTCAACTTCCCCTACTTAATTAAAATTCTCTATCACTGAAAAGCAAAGAATGAAAAGGTGTTTTTAATGCATTCCAAGAGGTTAATACATACACTGTGTTCTGAAATTTTAGCAATACTTACGTGGACATAGTCAAAGTGAAAATGTCACATTCTTTACACTGCTCCTCTGATTGAGGACTCTCCCATTTCCATAGAATGAGTGGGAAGGCCTGATTCCTTTATCCCCTCCCTTCTTTTTTGCTCATTTTCTCTATAAATAGCTGTTTTGCACACCAAAAAACCTGGAGAGTTTGCTAGGAATTGTGATTCCAGGGCCCACATGGACAGCTGGTTCCAGCAGGGCTGGGACAAGCCCAGCACAGGCTCTTTAAGACTCTCCAAGAGTCTGAGGATCAGAACAGGACCCTCCTCCTGGCCAGATGGTTCCAGGTTATTAACTTGCTAAGGAAATTTACCTCTTCAAATGCGCCTGGTGACCCGGCTATCTGGGAGGTTGTAACCTGCTGCCTTCAGGAGGAGGGCCTCTGTCCAATTTCCTTCCTGAGGACATCCATCCGCCCCTGTCTCAAGACCTAACTCATCTCCAAAGAAAGACTGGGGCAATGCCTGTGTCACACGTGGCTCCAGCATAATTCACCTCACTTTCAGTAGCAGTCTTCCCTCATCTAAAGATGGGCTAGATCCTTCAGCAGTGCAAATCCTGAGGGACTAACCTACAGAGAACCAAGCATCCCCCAGAACTCAGTGCCACATGCTCTGAGGCAAAGGGTTCAACAGGCCCCTCATGGCTCCCTAGAACCTAGAACATAGCTATTTACCTAGCAACCAGGGCAAATGTTGATGAACTACCAATGTCTTAATACGTCTAACCATAGTGACCACCTTTAAACCTTAATTTTCCTGTCATAATTTGTAATTTCACATTTTGAGAGCCTATAGAGCCACGTAAATCCTGATCCAAAGCATTCTCCCTGCATTCTTCCCCTTAGTTTATTAACAGTATCACCCAATGCATATTTGAGGTTTTGAGACCCGATTCCTACTGTGAAAGGGAAGTAGCAGTCCTGGGACGCCCCTCTTCAGGCTGAGTGTTAACTAGGATTGCTGATGCACGTTTATCTGAGCGGGTAGTCTCTGCTGCCTTCTTCACCAGGAGTGAGGGGCACCCAGTGCACAGTCCTCTACTCAGGCAGCCTCGCGTGTACAGCTTCACATGAATCCACGTGCACATCTACCTTCCATCCTTTTTCCATGACCCAGCCAGACAAGTATCACAGTTCAGCAGCAGCTATCCATCCCTTCCCCAGCTGGGCCACCATTCAGCAAGTCTGAATAAGTGTTAATTATGTTTTGTTAGGTGCTGTCGTGTTGAGCACAACCCATAGTGATCCTATGAACAACAGATCTGAATCCTGTCCTAACCTGTGCCATCCTTCTATTTCTTTTTTAACACGAGATCCCACTGCAGCAGTCGCTTTGTCAAGCCACCTGTTTGAAGGCCTTTGTCTCCTTCACCAACCAAGGCATTATGTCCCTCTCCAAGGAACAGCCTCTTCTAGAAACATGCCCAAAGCATGTGAGGCAAAGCTTTATCATCTTTGTCTCCAAAGAGCATGCTCGCTGCACTGTCTCTAAGACATATTTGCTTGTTCTTTTGGCCGTCCATGGAATATACAGTGCTCTTCTCCAACATCACAGCTCAACGGCATCAGTTCTTCTTCTCTCATCCATTTTCTTCTCCAGCTCTCAGATGCATAGCAAGTGATCGGAACCATGGCCTGAATCAGATGCACCTTAGTCCTCAAAATGACATCATTACTGCTCAATAATTTGGAGAGGAGACTTTCTCAGTGTAATACGTCTTCTTATTTCCTGACAGCTGGTACTAAGGCCGTTGATTGTGAAAGTAAGTACTAATACTCACATAAGAACATCTGCTTTTACACAGGGAGATGATGACAGACCCAAATGGATTTCAAAAGAAAAGCAAAGAGTTCTACCTTGCAGTGGGGTACTCTTTGACATGTGACAACATTGGCTTTTAAAAAACATCACTATCAGGAATTGGAATAGTCAGAGAGGCTAAGAACAGTTCCTGATGTGTTCATAACTTCTTGTTACTAGGTACCAAAGAGTTGCCTCTTACTCATAAACACTTAAGTACAGAACAAAACTCTACCTGATTCGGTGCCATCTTCACAATCTTTGCTGTGCTTAAGGCCAATGTTGCGGTCATTGTGCCAATCCATCTCACCTAGGGTGTTTCTCTTGCCGATTCTCTACTTTGCTAAGCATGCTGTCCTTTTCCAAGGATTGATCCTCTTGATGACATGTCTAACATGTATATGAGGTGAAGTTTCACAATTTTTTTAAAGCTTTATCTTGTTTATTCTACTTACTACATTAGCACAACCAGTCTCACCGTTTTTGCTTCTAAGGAGTACTCTGGTTGTACTTCTTCTAAAATAGATTTGTTTATTCTTTTGGCAGTCCATGATATAGTAAATATTTTTTGCAAACATCATGATTAAAAAACATTACTTCTTCAGTCTTCTTCATTCATTGTCCAACTTTCACATGACTAGTTATAGGTTTTCCAAAATTCTAAATGCTGCTTAGCTTTAAGAATACATATGGTTCTCAGCTTTTAGCTCAGAAGAGGTACAGGTGCAACTTTCTTTGGTTGTTCTTTATCTAGTTATCTGGGTTCATCTGACACTGACACCAGGTACCTCCACCAAGCCATACAAGTTTGATTCCAACAGGATAAAAACAAAATTCATAGACCTGAGGTGTGCTGGAGGGGAAATTTATGCTGTGTCTGCCCTGTTTCCTAAGATCAGCTGAGTTTGTCTTAAAAGAAAGTCAATGATGACATTGCTAAAGCAACCACTGACTGGAAGGAACTAAGGAGTGCAGTGTAAGTGATGACTCAGAACAGACAAGGGTGACATGATGTTTTCTGCATGTGTTCTGATCATCAAAGTCCTCAAGGAAGCACTCAGAGACAGAAAAGAGCAGGAAAGCATTAAACATGATGGGAATAAAACTTTTGATGAAACTATTTGCACTGCACATCAGATGAGACACAAATCTTTAACCAGAGAATTCTTTGGAGCTAGGAAGGAGAACCTGGAGATTGCCCAGTCTATTGGCTAAAACACTGATGGCTACCACCCTCAAGACATAAAACTGGTGCTTTTACTAAGAGTAAAATAATTTAGTAAAGGATCGTTTTATACTCCAAAATAAAAAATAATACATATAGTCATAGATAAACAGAATATACAGCTGAATAGTACTCTTCATAACACAAGGGGCTTTATTTTATCAGCCAGATGAATTTTAAGAATTTAAGAGATTGTGGTACACTCACACAATGGAAAACTATGCAACACTAGATAGCAACGATTTCATATCTAGACTTCAATCTAGATAACATGGAAGAATCTAGATAGCAATGACATAACTTCTCATGTTCAGTGTTGACAGAGTATTGACTATATTGTGGACTTCCAAAAGAACAAACAAGTCAATCCTGGAGGAAATGCAACCAGGGTGTTTCTTAGAGATAAGGACGGTGAAACTCTGTCTCACATATTTCGGACACACAATCAGTAGGGATCAGTCCTTGGACAAAGATCTCATGCTGTGAAAAGCAGAAAGTCAGAAAGAGGAAGATTCTCAAAAGAAGATGGATTAACACAGTGACTGTAACAACTGACATGCAATAAGCATGGCAGAGAGCATAATGATGACACAGGATAGGAAAAGGTTCAGAGCTGTTGTTCCTAAGGTTGCCATGAGTTGTAGTCAACTTGATGGCATCTAACAACAAC